CCAGCGTTCCCCCTGCAGCCGCTGGTGCATCCCCTGGTGAGGCAGCTGTGCCCCTTCAGCCCATGGAGGCCCACGCGGGAGCAGAGATCCACCTGCACCCGGGGAGGAGCCCACGCCGGAGCAGGGGGATGTGCCCGAATAAGGCTGTGACCCTGTGGGAAGCCCACACTGGAGCAGGCTCCTGGCAGGACCCGTGGAGAATGAGGAGCCCACACTGGAGCAGGTTTGCTGGCAGGAGTTGTGACCCCATGGGGGACCCACGCTGGAGCAGTCTGCTCCTGAAGGGCTGCACCCCATGGAAGGGACCCACGCTGGAGCAGTTTGTGAAGAACTGTAGCCTGTGGGAAGGACCCACGTTGGAGAATTTTGTCTCCCGTGGGTGGGACCCCACGCTGGAGCAGGGGAAGAGTGTGAGGAGTCCTCCTCTGAGGAGGAAGGAGCAGCAGAGACGATGTGTGATGAACTGACCACAACCTCCATTCCCCATCCCCCTGCGCTGAGGTAGAGAAAAGTGGGAGTAAGGGAAGAAGGGAGGGATGGGGGGAAGGTGTTTTAAGATTTGGTTTTATTTTTCATTACCCTACACATTCTCACTCCTCTCTCCTACTCAGTTTTGATTGGTAATAAATTAAACTGATTTTCCCCAAGTTGAGTCTGTTTTGCCCGTGATGGTAATTGGTGAGTGATCTCCCTGTCCTTATCTCAACCCACGACCTCTTTCATTGTATTTTCTCTCCCCTGTCCAGTTGAGGAGGGGAGTGATAGAGCAGCTTCGTTGGGCACCTGGCATCCAGCCAGGGCCAAACCACCACACCTCAGAAGTCTGTGGGCAGAACTTTGTGTCAGGCAATAGCTCAACAAATTCAGTATTCCTTTTTCATCTGCAAGGACAAAGCATCATTTCCATGCCTAACCTAGAAACTGGAACAGAAGAAACAAAGAGTGTAGGTGGTGATGAAGATAGCCTAAAAATTTTTAGTAACTCAGTTCATGAGTTTTTCTGATACTCTCCTTGAGTCAGACAGCTGGATGAAACGGAACATGACTATTTGTGTAGATTCTCATGCATACACAGCAGTCACTTCAGTCTTACAAAGTTTTTTATTTAGCAATTGCATCTTCAATGGTTATTCCATTATTAAGATTTTTCTTAAATAAAAATTCTGCTTTCCATAAAAAAGCTATAATTAACAAAAGTCACTTTCTCTTTTTTTTCACCTCATTTTCTGAAATGATGTAGAAGGAACAGCACGCTTAGAAGAGCCAGATTCTTCCTCATTTTCATGGAGACGCTTTCTTGTTGTGGTTGGCTAAAAGAAATATACAGCAGGATGGCTACATGAAATCAGGTAAGACAGAGCCTAACTGTACAGAGTTACAGATGTTGGATAAAGTCTCCTTTCTGTGACCAAAAAAGCACCATGACTAACAAATGTTTCTCTACCAAGATCTAATTATATTTGATCCTTCTCATATAAGACACTGCCCCCAGCTTCATCTTCCACTACTGTTTAAATTCTCCTCATTAGCATCTGGTAATAAATGTCACAATACCATTCTAAACTTTCACGAACATAAGAATTTTTCCTCTAATACTAAACATTCGTGACTTGAATCCACCAAAACATACATGTTCAACAACTTAAATACATGAATAATCCTTTAAAGCCTAGGAGACTGTTTCTATACATTTAAACAAAGTGTCTTGCCAAAGCACAAAAATCCATTGCTTCTGTTCAAAAAGCAGAGGTAATTAGCAGACTGCTACATGCAGCCAAAATGCACATTTCTCTAAGCTCTCAAAATTAATTGATTTTCTTATTATGGATTACTTCAAAATCTAGTTTCTCTATGCATCAAATATTAATCTTCAAATAATCCGTTACACATACCATTTTTGATGTTTGTGGTGGATTCATATTGGCACGTGTCTGAGCAAGTAGCTGTTGAAATGTACTCTTCATATCCTCATCCTGTGAAAAAAAAAGCAATACCTAAGTACTATATGGAATATTTAAGGGAAAAGCCTAGATTTTGGCTAATGAAAGGGATCAGCAATTAAAGAATGAATGAATAAAGGAGAAAAGGAGGTTTCCCCACTTCCCCCCTCAAATAAACACCTTCCTAATATGGCTTCACCAAGGGCAAGTTCCTGCTCAACCTAGTGGACCTCCTACAATGGAGTGACTACATCAGCGGAAAAGGGAAGAGCTATGGATGTCATCTATCTGGACTTTGACACGGTCCCCCACAACATCCTTCTCTCTAAATTGGAGAGATATGGGTTTGATGGATGGACTATGCGATGGATAAGGAATTGTCTGGATGGTTGCATCCAGAGGGTAGTGGTCAACGGCTCAATGTCTGGATGGAGATCAGTGATGTCCTCAGGGGTCTGAATTGGGACCAGTACTGTTTACTATCTTCATCAACAACATAGGCAGCGGGATTGAGTGCACCCTCAGCAAGTTTGCAGATTGACACCAAGCTGAGTGGTGCAGTTGACATACCTGAGGGATGGGATGCCATCCAGAGAGACATGGACAAGCTTGAGAAGCGGGCCCTTGTGAACCTCATGAGGTTCAACAAGGCCAAGTACAAGGTCCTGCACCTGGGATGGGGCAACCCCTGGCATCAATACAGGCTGTGGGATGAAAGGATTGGGAGCAGCCCTGCGGAGAAGGACTTGGGGGTACTGGGGGATGGAAAACCGGACACAAGCCAACAATGTGCACTCGCAGCCCAGAAAGGCAACCATATCCTTGGCTGCATCAAAAGAAGGGTGGCCAGCAGGTTGAGGGAGGTGATTCTGTCCTTCTACTCTGCTCTAGTGAGAGCAATAGGACAAGGGGTAATTGTTTTAAACTAAAAGAGGGCAGATTCAGACTAGATATAAGGAAGAAATTTTTTTAGCATGAGGGTGGTGAGACACTGGAACAGGTTGCCCAGAGAGGTGGTAGATGCCCCATCCCTGGAAGTGTTTAAGGTCAGGCTGGACAGGACTCTTAAGCAACCTGATCTAGTGAAAGATGTTCCTACTCATTGCAGGGGGTTTGGACTAGATAACCTTTAAAGGTCCCTTCCAACCCAAACCATTCTATGATTCTGATATGCCCCACAACAGAATTTTGAGCAGGTGGTTTATATACAGTGCTGGTAAGAAACAATAGTTCTATTTCATTCTACAAAGAAACGGTTTCCCCTCAGTAACTACTTAACTAATACTAGTCCAGCTAAAACTGAACTTGCAGTACCATTCAACCAAGTATAACAACACTGAAAGAACAGAACATACAGGCTAGAAGTTTGTGCAGGTAATTCATTAGTCAGCCTTATCAGAAGAGGCCTCATCAGGACTTGGGGCCTGCTTTCACCAAAACAGAGTTAATCACTCTTGAAAAACAAGTATTTTCCTTATAGTCTTACATTTTATTCTCATAATGGCTTCCCTTTTTAACAACACATTTTCATTTCCACTACCTCAGCTTCATCAGCATCCCAAATTTGGGTAGTTTTCATTACCAGCCCCCCGCAAAAGCAAACCTGTTGTACACAGTAGGTAAAAGACCAGCTAAAACACCCCTACCGTAACAAAAAAAAAACCCTACCCACAAAAAAAACCACAACAACCCCCCCCAAGAAACCCCACTCCCCAAACCTTCAAACAAAACATTATCTTGAAAAGTATCCCACAGTCCATAGAATGTATTAAAGGTTGTAAATTGAAACATTTGGAAAGCAAATATTCAGAATTTGGGCAAGCATTTCACTGAAGTTTCCCTTTTGAAAACGCAAATTATTATCAACAAATATTATATTATTAATAGAGCGTTCATATCTCTACAGAAGTTCACTGGATAGTACAGTTCATGCTCTGTTTACCCACAGTGGTAAGCCAGAAGCTGCCATTAGTGGAAGGAAAGTGTCTGGGAAAGATGCACTGCAAAAGAAGTGGACTTCTCAATTGTGCATAAACAGGCCTGGCTGCAGAAGCATTAAGAGGGAAGGACAGCACAGGGGAGGGAAGGGCAGCAGAGATCTTTTGTTAAGAGAAGCTAGTTTAGCATAAAGTCAGGCATGTTTCAAGAGAAAAAGCTAGCATGTAACCGCATTCTAGTTCACCTGCCAGTGACCAGGGTGCTCTTGGTATATGCTGGGCAACCTCAGGGAACAGGAAATCAGTGTGAACAAAACATTTAGTTGATATAGTATACTCCCTGTTTTAAAAAGAAAACCTCATTCTCCAGTTTCAGCAATTTCTCCTGCAGGAATTTTATTAGCACTGGTTGCTATGGATTACCTGCAAACCCTAAATCAGACTTCCAAACCTGAAATCAGGTCTTTAAACCTTTCCCAGGACTAAATGAAGTATGCTGCTCATGGTGATTTAATACAGATTGTTTCCTTTGGCTGAGCTTTGAACAGTGACTGTGTTCACCAACTGAACAACAGATCTGGAACCAGACATTTATTCTAAATAACTGACTGAAGCTAACGGGTTGTATAATTTTGTTCCATTATCACAGCAAAGATTGGGAAATTCAAGTAGTGAATGGGACATTCACTGCTAGAGACAATTAGAAATAAGGATCATTGAGCTCCTAAAGATTTCAAATGTTTTAACTGGGTTTTTTGGTTGAAGGCAGAGGAGGGAGTTCTTTTTCTAAGCTATGGAGTATTGCAGTATATCTCCATTTTTTGGTTTAAATATGTTCTTAAGCACTACTAGAAGGCTTTGATGTGAACATCCAGTTTATTTTATATAGAACTGGGACTTGTCTTTCTTTTCCAGTGTCACCTGTTTTGTCTGTGGCTACATTTGAATTGATGGGTAAGATAAGTATTTTTCCATTTATATAACAAACACCTGAGTTCTTCTTCAGCATGCAACCAAACTAATTTTGTCCCATTCAAAAATCCCAGTGAAGTTTTCAGAGGCAGAAACAGCAATTAATTGTTTATATACCTTTGAAAAATGTTATATTAAGTACCTGGTATATACAGGTAAGACATTTCCACTGAGCAGTACTTAGGTTTAAGCAGCCCACTAAGTTTTAAAGTTTTAGGTTTAAGCAAAGAATGAGGTAAACAGCACAGGTATTTAAAACACTAATTTGAAAGCACTGCTAGTTTAAATAAAGCTGTAGAAATTAAGTTTTGTTTGGAGAACATGCTTACTTTTAGTATCTGAAAAATTCTCTAGTGGACCCAAAATCATTAGAGATGGCTAACAGGCATTAGCCATATGCATAAAGTATGCGTCTGGTTTTTCCATGCTAACTTTTAAAGACAATACTTACAGAGAACACAAGAGGGAGTAGGGAGCCAGTAACTCCTTCTCACTACTCACAGTAACAGGACTCAAGGAGCTCTTTTGGTGGTAGTATTCAGCGTGTGTGATATCTAGAACTGAACATACTGGATGTTGGCCTTCCAAGCAGGCAGTGTACATCACCTATAAACAACTGATACTCTTAGTAACAGCCCGTGAAGGGAAACAGTTTAAAGAATGGCATCCAAATGCTAGATGCCATTTGGATTTGTGGGTATGTTTTCTGAAACTTTTTGTCCTGTCTTCAAAATTAAACATAACAGTAAGAGGTGTCCCTAAATGGAATATATAATCAAGATGCTAACAGCTTGAGTTTACATACTGAAATATCTCAAATTCTTAGCTTATCTAAATCACTGTCATATATTTCCCCTTTTCCATTACACATACCAGTAATTCTTAAAATCAGTGTAGCATGGTTTATCAATAACATGCCCTGCTCAGAATTACAATCTAAATGTAAGAATCTACATCTGATTAATTCACTGTAGAAGTTACACACAAAACTACAGTAGTAAAAGCCAGGAAGAATTTTCTGATGCCCAGCAGTATAATTAGGACAAGTTAATGACTTAGAAACCGTTATCCAAATGCATTTTCTGTCTCAGGAAGCTGCCAGTTGTTGAGCACTGAGTGATACTTCCTTGGTTCCACCCTGTTTCTTATGTTCTTTACCTAAGCATCTGAAACCAAGCACTGTTCCCAGTGCAGGAATATGAATAGCATTATGCTCAGCATGAGTAAGTAGAACCCTGTGTGCGGCTCAGAGGTAGCCTGGGTGACTTTCTTCAACCTCCTCAAGCAAAAATATCCAGGAAAGCTCATAGGCCCAGTGGTCACCTCTAGAGTGCCAAAATTAATAAAAGACTACCTAAAGACGACCTCTTACAAACCTAACTAGACTGTAACAGGAGGCAGGGAAACCATCACCTCCTACTCGGAGAGTTCCCAAACCAGTGACACTTATTCATACTCATCATAGTAAGAACATAGTAGTCTTGGACACTGGCCAGAAACAAACTGCAGGATTCAGCACTGCCTGCCCACACAAACAAGATGAGGAAGTGGGACTCTGTTACAATGCTCAAAGGAGGAGGTCCATCCTATCAGAACCACAATCAGACTTGGTCTCTATAAAAGACATCTTGATTCTCAGAGGTTAGAGAGTTCTGAGAAGAGGTGTCTCAGAAAGGATGCAGAAGGTGCTAGTTGCATTGAAAGAAGGTATTCAGCAGAATACTCCGTGGTTTTTTTTGCAGTCCTCTCTGCAGGGACTGAAAACTTGAAAGCACAGACCAGCTACAGATACAGACTGGGCTTTATTTTCTAAGAAAAAATTCCAGAGACCCAGGATTTTCCATTAAGTTCAGAGCAGATCATGGAGGCATACAAAGGGTGTTGAAGCAGGACCAGAGTATGGAGAGGAGCAGCTTAATACCAGTATCCTTGAACAAAAATAAAGACAGAGAGGTCTGTCAACTTCTGCTGTTGAGCTGGCACCACACCTTCCAACAGAAGCCAGCTGGCTGGTAGGAGGGAATTAGTGACACAAAAGCTGGTATTAAATAGAGCAACAGACTTGCAACTTGCTGGATGGCATGGCACAGAAGTAGAAAGAACTGTACCTATCACCTGTGCTCAACCGCTAATCTACAGTGTTGACCCAGGCAGATATTCACAAGCTCTACCTATTCCTAGTCTTTCCGAACAGACACCATGAGGAGCTCATTGTTGGTATTTACCATTAGGACCACTGAGTTCTGATTCTCTTAACACCAAAATCAGTTTCATCTTCCTCTCACAAAGAAAACACAGCTGTTTTGACGGAAAGGCCAGAGATGACAGGACTGCAGGAGTCCTGACACACTACTTAGCTAAAGGTGATAGGCTGGAACAGGACCTAGTTTAGCTTGACAGCACTCTTCAGTACTCTACAATACCTATAAAACATGATCCAGAGTCAAACATCTGTGGGATAACCACAGAATAGTGAACATGTAAACTGTGAAACGCCTTGACAGGTGGAAAAATTATAGAATCTGAGTCCTTCTCCCTTACCTGAATACATGACTGAAGATGCATCAGCCATGAGATATCGCAGATTTAGTCTGAGAGAATTACATTACTTGACAAGGACCCAAGCTGCTTTGAACCACCTTTATTATATGACGATGTAATAAAGATCCTGAGACCAAGAGAACAAAAAGCTCTCCTATACAAGTTCTTATGGCTGTTGTCAAGGGTCCCGACACAGTTAGCATTAAGACACATTCTAGCACGGGTCAGGCTGCATCAGAAGGTAATCAAATTGGTCAAGGCCGAGAAATGCCCTCAGCCTGTGCAGAGAGGGTATACAAAGTCATGTGAGCTGCAGTGCTGTTAGACAGTTAAGCCACAAAGATGATGCATTATGCAGATAATAAAGAGAAAAGGCAACAGACATAAAACTAAGGATAGTGCGGCCACTTTGGAGAAGAGAAGAAATAGTTCCCAATTCGTTTTTCTCGCTGGCAGAAGAGTATGTCATGTGGCAAGGTAAAACCTACATATGGAGACCTCATGACAAAGTGGAGGGCAAAGGAGAAGTCAAATTAAAAGAGAAATCAAGCAAAGATGTGTTTAGGGTGGGAAAAGGCATTGAACAGTGTCAGGCAAGGCTAGAAGACTACAAATAGCAGCAACAACAGCTGAAAAGGACCATGGAAATGAAGGACCGAGAAAGCATACGATGCTATAAAAGCAGCAATAGAAAGGGGCAAGAACTGATGAGGGCTTTGCCAGGGACAGGGGCCAAGAAAATAAACACATTGAAAACCAGCAGGGGGTCTAGTTGCCATTGCAAGAGGAAAAGACAAGGGGAACAGGAAATGAAGAAAATCTGTGTGCTGCAGAGACAGCATTTGCTTGTTGGGAGAGCGAAGAAGCAACTCTGTTCTGTACACTGCAAGAAAGAAGGCTCCATCCCACAAAGGCTCTGACACACAACAAGGTGCTGCAAGATCATCTTGCTTCCAACAGAGAGACATGGAAGCAGTCTGTTCAAGATGCTCACTCTGTTTGGTTTACAGATGTCCAACAGGAAAGTGGTGGCTACAGTATCTGGGATAATGTCATCCTACAGGCTGGGATCTGATGGCTCCTCTTCCTACATGTCACTGACAATGCCAGTAAACCAAATAAATAATTCCTAAACACAGGGCCTTTTCTTTCTCTCTTCTCTTTCTGTAAGTAGGCAGCAGGATCTCTCCAGTCTTACAGCAGCCAGCAGAAATTGTATAGCCAGCTGGCAGGCAGGCAGCAGTGCTTGCCCATGAGAAGCACCACATGACAGTTGCTCTTCTGCTGGCTACTATCAGAGACAACCTACGGACAGGCAGACTTAAGCTCTGACTTAAGGTAACAGTTGTTATTCCCATGAAGCTAAACAATTGAAGCTCTCATTGCCCATCATTGGATCCCTTTTATGGTATTCTCCACAGAAGCAGGATCAGCCACACATTACACCTCTGGTGACCAGAGTAGTCAGCGTTCCCCTGCTTCCTTGCAGAAGCAAATTACACTGTATCAACAAAACCTCATAATTCAGGCTATTGAACTGCCTTTGAATTTACATCAAAAGAAGTTATCCCCAGAACAACCCATCTTTGCTGTACTTCATTTAAGACTCAATTCCTACCTGAAGCCAAGGATGTTCTAAGGCTTCCTCTATTGTAAGGCGTTCTCTTGGATCCACTACTAACAGCTTCTTCACAAGATCCAGAGCTAAGATAATAAAAAGGAGTTGGTTGGCACATGATCAATAAATTAATTACCTGAAAATAAGTTCTGCAATATGCATACACCAAAGCTATGTGCAACAATGTGTCTTATAACACTTCAGAACAATGCCCAAAAATACTGGCTGGGCAGATCACTTTTCTTTTTTCTATGCACAGGGAGGGCTGCAGACTGTAACCATTTTTCCTTCGCATGCACATGATTCAACACTTTTCAGTATACCAAAATTACCAGTAGATATACTGAGCATGTCCACAGTTTATGTCCTGAGCATGCACAGGAAGTTTAGCACTTTCCTAAAAGCTTCAGTGTTATAGTGGACAAGCAAAGACAGCTTAATTTAGTTTCCTGGTTTACAGAGTTTTAGAAAGCAGATTATCCATCTGGGAAGATGGGAAAGAAGAGACAAGACATACACACGTATGCTCAACATAATCGCATAAACTTTCTTTTCTTAGGAAACTGCTTAATAGATGCTGTGGAAAAATATGGCATTTATGTCATATTTTATGACTCCAAATCTTCCATAAAGGAGTTTTTATAAGACTTACTTTTCATTGTATCTGATTATTCTGTTACACATACCATTAGGACTATGTACAACCTTAATATAATTTGCATTCTCATATATGTCTGACCTATTATTGAACAAGCTTCAAATAATTCAGGAAGGAATTACATTTGGTAAGTTTATTAGAAAAAGCATGATCACATCATTTATTAGAAACTCCTTTGCACATACAAAGGAGTATCCAAGGCAAATACCACAATTATTTTGTGCATATAGAATGTCCTGAAGAAGAAAAGCATGCAGACAGTAACTATCATTTTAGTTTGCTATGCAAAAAAAATCAATTAGTTTTGCAGTCTACTACTTAGCTTAGAGTGGGCCAAACTTAATAGTTGATTCCACAAATGTGGCTGATATTTTAACCTCAAAGACTAGAACCATGAAATTACTCTTAATATTTCTCTCTTGGAATTCTAACTCATATCCCTCAAATTCCTGGCATTTTTGGTTCAACAACTTGAAGAATCTTAGAGCAAGGCAAAGTTTGTAGACCAGCTTGATAAAGTCAGAAGAAAAAGTGAAAAGAGGAAAAAGACGTATATGCCCACAAACTCTACACTTCAGTAGTTAATAAAGCTAAATATTACTAAGAAATCTCTTAAATGAAAATGTATCTGCTCTTTCTAATGCTTCAACTTTGAACTTAAAAAAAAAAAAACCAAAAACATTTTTAAGAGACTACTTTAAAAAATTAATATATCAACATGTGATGTACCATACAGCTGAAAGGAAGTTAAAGGAAAACAAAAACTACAAGAAAAGAGCTAGATATTCTGCTTCCCACTGTAATGGAGTCATACCCATGTCCGACACAGTCTTCCATTCTCTTGAAATGAACCTGTATTCTCCACGAGTGATTTGCTCGTTCAGAGATAGTTGAGTATTTTGCTCGTTAAATGGTGGATATCCACACAAGCTATATAGAGGAAGAAAGCAAGTTAAATAACATGGATTTTGTCACAGCAACTGAAACACTAAAATGACACATTTTAAAGTATCTGCTATCATAGCATCTTTTATACATATACAGTTTTAAACACGCTTTCACTTCCTAATAAAGATACTGAAGTTGCCAAGCCTCGAGCCATGTATGTCAATGACTGCCCAATGAAGGTAGCATCTACACAATATCTTACCATACAAAAAGAATAACTCCTAAACTCCAGCAGTCCACAGCTCGGCTGTATCCAGCAGTCCCAACTGAATTTAGAACCTCAGGAGCAAGATATGTGGGAGTACCACATAATGTTTTCATAAGAGAAGTTTCTCCAAGAATCTTGGATTGTCCAAAATCTGTAATCTTGTATTTAAAAATGGTAACACCATATTATATATTAGGATTGATTTTACTAGAACATATCATATTGTCAACATACATCAGGAGGCAACATTAAGTTTCTTCTTACAAGTCAGTTCCAGTACATGACTATGAACAAAATTTACCCCAAACATTATTAACTATTCAGTAAACAACAACTGAGAACGGGAGAGGAGGAGGAGGAGGGAGAAATATGACAGAGGATCACACTTTACACTAGTAAAAAGTACTGTCAGATTTGGATGTAAATGGACAACCACAGAATAAAGGAATTGTAGCTTATTAGAAAAGATTACTTGAAAAACAAGCAGTTTAGCATGCAAATTTATTCAATGCTTTATCTGGGGCAGGGGGGACCCACCCACAAAAAACACCCACAAAAAGCCCCCAAACCTAATGCCCTCCAAAAAAACCCCAAAACAACAAAAAAAGCCCTGTTACCATACAGCCTGGATATTTCTGGAAGTGTTGTCTGTAATTCAGTAACTTAGGTTTCATTAAAAAAAAAGAAATTATTGACATTTGAAGTATAGCACTTAATTCAGTACACAACAAGCACAACATTTCTCAGTTGTTCTTAGATAAGTGTATGGGTTAAAATATCCACAAAAGTAAAATTAAAATTCTTTTAAAAAACCTCAAGGTTTTAAGTTACTTCATAGTTTGTATTACTAATGCCATCATTTTTTTTCTTGCTATGTTTAACTAAATATTGAGAAGAATGGGAAGGAATACTCCCAAATTTCTAAATGAACAAGAAGAAAGGTAAGTTTCCTTACCTTTATAAGACATGTCTCGTCAGAAGATGAAAGTAGCACATTCTCTGGCTTTAGATCTCGGTGTATAATTCCATTGTCATGAAGATACTAGATATATACAGATACACAATTAAAGAAAAACAGACTATTAACTTTTTTAAAATATAAGCTTTCCAATTTTTCACATAACAATGGCAGAATAACTGAAGTGGTTCTGTAAGAGGCATGCGTGTATTTAAAGCTACACAGCTTATGACTTGCTCCTCTCAAAAAAAAAAAAAGACCAAACCAAAACCCAAAAAAACCCCAACAACCAGAAAAACCAACCCCCCCAAAACAAACAAACAACCCCCGAAAAAACAAACAAAAAAAAAACAAAAACAAAAACCCACCCCCCCCAAAAAAAACACCTTAGAAACCATTACGCTTCCAATATCAAATCTCAATGCAAGCACAGTATGTAGACCTGGCAAGGTGTTCCATTCTTCCCATTCACTGGAAAGCTATAAGTCTTTCTTCATCTCAGTAAAAGCAACAGAACTGAGGAAGACCAAAGTTATATGTTGCCTTTGTAGGAATTCTGAGTTTCCATCTCTCTCTCTCCTTTCTTTTAGTCATTATTATTGTACAGTCATACCCTCTTGAATACAAGTCCACATTTCAGTTTGCAAAGACAGTTAAGTTCACCATGCCACAACAGTCCTCACACTGGTGAGTAATAGTAGACAGATTTAAAAAACACCTCAGTCGTCAAAGAGCTGGAGGCTGAAAAAGGATTCCACAACTGGTGATATAACTAGGAAAACTGAGTAAGGAGGAAATATAAGATCAACATCAGGTTAAATATGCAAAGGATTTTGAAAAAAGTTACATCCTTGAGGCAAGTGTAGAATTGTTTCCTCATCTGTAGTTCTGAAGTCTACATGGAAGTCTACTATCCAGTTTTCTACTGGCTCCAAATCTGAGAATAGACTTCTAGCTTCATTAGGAGAACGTTTGACAGCAATCAAAGTTCAGTCATAAATGACTGATATATTAAGATACAATGAAGTCTGTGTTAAAACTAGGAACATGTCTTCACGTTTACACTGAGGGGAAGCTTTTCTTTATTATATATGAAGACATAGTATCATTATGAAGTAGAAGGTAATGACACCACTTTTATTATATGAGCGGCTGTCCCAAAAACGAGACTTGGGGAAAAATACAGTAGTTTTCTCACTAATGAGGAAAATAATTCTAGATTTATTAATACCTACTACAGAATAACTATTAAGTTTCTGGTTTTGGCAGTTGTAAGATATTAAGATTGAGTCAAAAGAAAAAAGGAAAAGAACTGATCTGAAAGCATATTCAGATCCAGACAATTAAGTTTGATACAGAAAACAATCTTGCAGAAGTTAGTAATGAAATATGCTTACCATTTCATGAATTTAGAAGAGATTAATCTAAGGACTCAATATTCAGTATTTAAGATCTATTAAAGTAGTCAATCTGTTGTCTGCTGACCTGAAACGCTTATTCAGGAGTGCATCAGTAAAGCATCTGATCGCTAATTTTTCTGAAGGCTCCTACACTGATGAGTCTTTGCACACACATTACTAAACGTCTCACATGATAATCCTGCCATCAATGAACACAGGCTGTATTAAAAACACGGACTAAAGCAATAATAAGTAAGAGCGTTTGAATGTTCTTTGGCTGCACTGAGGTAAAGAATCTTGTTAAACCAACTTAAGAGTGCTGTGCTGATTGCTTGCACAGGTTTCAGAAGTGACAAATCACAAGAAAAATTAATCTGACATTCATACGCATAACCATATTTTTCTTGGTAGAATTCATGATTATGTACCTTTACAGCCAGCAGCATCTGATAAAAATACAACTTGCAGGTAGCTTCTTTCATCTTGACTGGCCTTGACACTCTGTCATACAATTCTCCTCCTTCCATCCTAGAACAAAGGCAGGTACCAAGTCAATATTACTTCCAAAAGATTCATCTCATTAGACAAGACTGAGACCAAAATATTTGGCTATTTTGGCTACAGAGAAGGAATAAATTTCTGAAAATGAGCGAGCAACGTCCTAAACACAGCACATGCACTGCTGAATTAGGCCTGATCTTCTGAGTCTTCACTGGCAGTTGTTAGAAGATTTTTGATCAGCCTCCTCTTATGAGCTCAAAATCAAAAAAGTAGCAGCAATCCACAACAGCAGCACAGTGGGCAACTATCCTGGCACTAAGTGCCTTCAAAGTATAGAAGGATTACTCTCCTGGTTATCCTAGTTCCTAATTTTACAGATGTTTCAGAGAACAGTAGAGGCCAGCAAAAGAAAAACAAAACAAAACACAACAAACAAAAAATCCCAGAGTTCAGAACTATACACATTCTTTGTGGCTATGAAAAACATTTCATTTTATGCATTTACTTTCAAACAAGTTACTTACAGTTCCAAAACAATGTAGTAATCCTCTGCTTCAAAGAAGTTTTTGATCTTGATTAAACAAGGCTAATAAAAAAGGGAACACAAATGGACACACACAAAAAAGTAGAATCATTTGTAAAAACTAACATTATCAACAGTTTATCCTCCTAAAGTTCCTATTTTGGTATGATTTCAGCCATGCCAGTTAAACTAACATTTAACACAACTGACTAGCACCCCAGGCTTTGGCAAACACTTAATATTCAAGTCTGTTGTCTTCTCCCCCATACCTCCACACACAAAAATATTCAACACTTGTGGTGTCTACAGCTGAACAAGCAACCTTTTTTTTTTTTGCCAGTTGTGAGTTACCATACCCTCGATATTTTCTTTATATGCAATAGTACTTTGGGAAGCAAGGGAAAGTTCATTAAGCTATGCAAACTTTCTACTTAACAAAAGTAAAAGAAATGCCTTTTGTGGGGCAGCAGGGGTGGGGAGGGATGCAGGGGAAAGAGGGGATACAAATTCAAAAAACTGCCAGTGGAATCTAATCTTTGTATTTGGTTATCTGGCATTATTTATAAAAACATGCATCAAGGAAAGATTTCTACAACAGTGGTTCAGGTTGAAACTTCTCCTGTGAAGTTTCTTCTCAAATTTAGATTGCAGATATTCAAGGTTTTAAAACCTCAAATCTGTAAAGACATAGTATACTTAAAAGAAGAAAAACGAAGTGTTCAGTAGACTTATTTATAATAAAAATTATATGCATCCTTTAAGATATTTTCTAAACAAATACAAATTGATCTTTAGTTACTACAGTGTCAGTGAAGTACAGAAGTACAATAGGCAGCAAAAAGGAATAAAAATGTACAGTAACACTCACATGATCTATTTTCTTCAAAATTTCAATTTCTGTATTGATATTAAATGCTGGGTTCTATTAAAAGAATCAAATATCATATTGGGTAAGACACTGCTGTTCTGGAATAAGACACATCAGAAATAAGAGACAGTACCAGAAAAGCCATCATTTCATGTCCCTTGCTACTTTATGAAAAAAGATTACGTGTTATGGTTACTTAAACTGATCAGGTGCTGTTAGTGAATTTAATGAACAGTCTGCTCTAACTATCTGTGGCAAAATATTGCTCCAGACATATAATTTCACTGAAGGTTAGAAACCTCCACCTAATTTTGAAACTACCAAAAAAAAAAAAAAATCTTGGCAAGTATATATTGGTATTGTCCTTTAAACAGCTTTCCTCCCTCCAAGATGCTTTCCATATGGGCTAGCAGTAAAATTAAATGCTACTCTCTCCTAGCCTTTATTTTGCAAGCTAACATAAACAGATTCTTTTAATCTGTGGCTTAGGCTCAACTCATGAAATCAACCCAGAAGGTTTTTTTGCTCTTCTTCCAATGCATATCAATCATCTTCGAACACACATGACCAAATCAGTATACAACATTCCAGATGCAGTCTGTTTTGTACAATGGCATTTCTTAATAATTATAATTCATAACAGCATTTCTTAAGCTTTATTAGAAATGTTCCAAAGTTGCATTTTGCAATTTTCAATCACATTGGTGTCACATATTCATCTGCAAATAACTGTATCTGCCTCCTCCTCTGAACTAGGAAAGGTGTAGATTATAGCAGAAATTGTCGCTGATCTTGAAGTATACGATCTTGCGCTATTAAACTTTATCTAACTTCTATTACTCCAGCATACAAAAGTATTGGTTCTTCATACATGATACTGCAATCTTCCTTTCCCATCAACAGAGACTTTGGGTCAGTGCCAAAGAGCTGAATTAGTATATTCCCACTTTTTGTGCCATGATCTCTAAATGTAATAGTACAGAAGACTAATCTCAAGACAATTCTCAAAACTTCCACTAGTGATCAATTCCACTCCCACTGAAGCCTCCTGGCATCCTTTCCTCAGCCAGCTACCTTTCCACCTTAAAATTTTTGTCTTTACAAAAATATTTTCCAGATCAAGTAGTAGTTTCCTATACAGTACCTGAAGAAATACTTTGTCAGTTTGAACAGATTCTGTATATTACATCTGTGCTCTGAAGTCCATTTTCTCATCAACGAAATAAATAAGGTTAATCCAACTTGATTTAACTTTAGTAAGTCCACAGCAGCACAACTTACATAACTCCTTCTTCCATGCACTTTTGCCTCTAACTCTTTTTTAAGTTTTTCCTTAGAGTAATAGATGTGAAGTTACTTGGATCTCTTCCTCACATTGGAGTAAAGCCGCTTGGCTTGTTCTTCTTTAAATTCAGGCTTCTGCTACAAGACTAGACACATGAAAAGCCCTCCCAAAAGGCTTCATATGATTTTATTAAAAAGTAGTATGATGGAGAATACAACAAAATTAGCAGAGTTTATAAATTTTTGGTCAGACTCTGCTGGTTATGATGTGCCTATCTGATGCATTTTAGGAGATAAACCCCACAAGACTCCCCACCACCCTTTGTATATACCACATTAACAAACAGTCCTAAATTATGAACATAATGAAATGTGGTCAAAGAATAAAAGCAAGCATTTTCTAGAGAATTCTATAGCTTCTGTAAGATCAAAAGGCATTTTGAAATTACATACAGAAGACATTAAGTAAGAAAATCCTCTTTAGTTGAAGAGAGCTGGGGAGTCAGAGAGGTTACCAAATATGCCAGGACCACTGCAAGATGGCCAAAAGACAGACAAACAAAAATACTTACTGCCTCTCTAATATCACTTGCCATAAACTTCCGTTTATTGATTATCTTTACTGCAACTTTGTTACAAGTGCTCTTCTCAAATGCCAGTTTGACTTCTCCACAGGCACCACTAACATGAAAGCACAGCTATGTTAATGCTTACAAATACTTTTCAAATTCTACATAAGAAGTATAGACAAATTAAATAACAGCAGTGGATTACACACAATTTGAGGCTACTGCTTTCTAACTTGCTGAATATGGCATGTTGTCAAAACTTTCTCAGAAAGCATTCAATAGTTAGGAAGTCTGTTTAAATAGCAAGTGATGTCAAGGGCCACCCATTCAAAAATGCAGGAGTAAATATGTAGAGCGACTAATCTCTTTGTACAAAGGGTAGCAGCGAATATCAAGGACAAGCTCTGTCACAGTATTTCCATCACACAAATGCATTTAAGAGAAGACAACCTAGTGAAGAGTTCTCTCCACACCAGACTGCGCAAATCTGAAGAACAGGTATGAAAATACTTTTATTTTTATTAAGTATCAATTGTAGTACAGACAGAAATCGTTGTGTTTTGCACTCAGATTTGTTTCCACTTAACCGTTCCCCTCCAAATTCTTCATTGACCATCTTTTTCCAAAAGATAAAAAAATAGCCTCTCTCCCTTTTCCTGAAAACAATTCTTTCCCCTTCCGTCTGAAGGCCTCAACAGTGATGGGGTAGAAAGCTATATTCTGACATAAAGCTCTTCCTTCTATTTCTAATAACTGAGTAAATTAATATATAAAATTTAAAAACTTGTTAAGAATCTACAGACTTTATTCTCTTCTACAGAAAAAAAAAGGGGGTTCACAATTAACGGTAGGTTATATAACCCAAGCCAGTTACAGTAATAAAGCCAAAATTCCTGTTTAAGCCGTTGTAAAGAATGGATTTACTCAGCTGTCACCATTAATTTTTTTTTCCTGTTTTTTAAACAGCAGCTCAGTTGACACTGGTAATAATTCCAGCACAAGGTACTGAAAACAGTAACAAAATTAACGCTTAGTACTGTGGAAAGAAGGATGCTTACCTTCCCAAAGTCCTTGACATGATATATTTCTCTCTGAATTCTCTAGGAAACACCAACTGATCATCCACCGTAAGATCAGAAAATACAAACACTAGGAAGATGAGTGGAGATCATTTTCCTGTTATTAACTTTAAAATTTTGTTATAACGAACAACTATGCTTCCTGAGCTTTTATAGTCAACAACATTAACTAAGAAAATGCTGCCTGCTAGGAGAAAAACATGAATATATAAAAAAGTTAATTGATGCTATAAATGACATCAGCTATGGGTTAGCAAGGTGATCTTATTACTGAAAACTGTCATTTTTAGTATTAACTTCACAACAGTGCTTAATCAATTAACACTACATTTAAGGACAAAATAGGCAAGCATTTCAATGTCAGAGAAGGGATAAAAGAGAAGTGACAATCAGGAAGACAGCATCTTCCTGGAAAAGCAAAGACAAAAAAACAAACCCCCAACCCTGATAATTCTTAAGAGGATTTTTTAATCATTATGGAGCATCTGGTTAGTACCTGGGTTTTTTTCAACTTCCCTTGAATAGTCTGTTTCCCCTGCTCCCACCACCACGTACACAGCTACTGCAGCACAAAAGCATTTCAAAAATAGGAAAACAACTATAAAAGTTCAGTAAGTAAGGTGGTTCCTGATGCAGCGTCTTTTAAATTTTCTTTTTTCAGTTTTTCTTTCTAGGGTTGAGGTGGATACGGATAATTTTTTGATAGTACTAAAACATCAATTCATAGCCGTATTTTAACAGCACTCATGAAGAAGCTCAGCTTGCAAGAAACATATTCAAATCACTACAGAAACGACCTCTTGGTCAACATATGAACAACCTACTTATGTCATAGTACATTTTACCCTTATTAGTCTGTATAGACAGTGCAATTTCAGAGTTGTGAGTCAGTGGAAGCCTCTTCCCTTTTCCAATGACCTGTCTATTAACAAAAGTTCCATTTGCACTGTGGTCTTCAATGTAGGCAACGTAGGAGTTTTTTGGACCCATTTCCTGAAAGAGAAAAAAAATGGGAAAGATAACAGTAGGGAAAAAATTACTGTAAAGACATGACAGACTATAGAAATTTACTATAGTTGGCTCAGGAAATCAGACTACTGAGGTTATTTCATAAGCCAGGTTAAAGGAGCACTACCAAGAGTCTTGTTAAAGGAGTCAACACCGAAGGTACTTAAACCTTGATTTGTCTAGGATCCGCCCCCAGTAAAGTCAACCTTTTTCAATTATGCCAAGATAAAAAAAGACAGTTAACCTTTTTAGCACCTACCCTGAAAATTCGGAAATGCTTTTTGCTATAGTTTTGGTAGAAGCCAGTCTCAGACAATCCTAGCTTAGAAAAACTATAATCACAGCTTTTGTCTCTTCCAAACCAGTATTCATCATTCACGCAGTCTGTAGAGGAGGGGGAAGTAAAGCAGAGAAAGAACAAAAAATTGTTGGAGGTTATTAACTGTGGCACTACAGAATGATGCCAAATGGTACTGAGTAGGATAACAAAGACAAGATTCTTCCTAGACAGCCAAGTTTATTTGTCTTAATTCAGACAAAGCCCCACACACTGTCAACACCTTGTACAACATTTTAGTAATTTTACCCTCTTTAGTAATAGTAGAGTTTTCATTTCATCTTCAGCAATACAGAGACTCCTATGATACATAAACAAAATAAATTATGAAATGGAAAAATGATGCAAGTAACAAAGAACATGAATACCCCAGAATTCCTCTAAGTCTACGGAAGCTGTGTATCTGGATACTCAGTATAAACACTGGGATGTAGTACAGAATAGAACATTATTGCAAAAGTTGCAAGCTTGTACTTAAATTTGCTTGTACTTAATTTGAAAATGGAAAGACACAGCTCTCTACCAAGCTGCTCAAAACTTTTCTGAGGTACTGCAAATGAACCAAGAGGCTTATAACAGTGTACACGTACCACAATTGCTGAAACCTTTTCCAAGTGCAAAGAGACGACCCCAAGGCTGAGGAGCAAGCTCTTCAGATTCCTGGTCCTCAGGGATTGACGGAAGCTCCTGAGTGGGAACAGTGTCCAAAGAACTGAGGGTCCCAGAACTTGAGGAAGACTGACTAGTACTCTGTGACCCACTGGAAGAGGAACTGGTACCACTCTGTGACTGTTGGGCACCTTGAGACTGCTGCGCTTCACTTCCAGTCTCTCGAGACATGTTGGCTTCAAAGAGAATGTTTAAAAAAACCCAGTTACTACAGCAAAGTAAAATTGACAAACATTCACACACCATACTATTAACATCCAAGTCTATTCTCATAAGTAAATAATAAGTAAAACTTTCAACCAAAGCGTCCATGTGTGAACTATATGTAAATCCCCAAGAATTTTGCAAACCGTGATGTTTTTCCTTTTAAAAAAAAGAATGTGGTGCTCCCTCTACTGGTTCTAAAACAACAGTTAAAATCTTATTCCCAGATTGTCACTTGAGCTCTTCAGGGCTCACACTTTATTTCATGAACGCACGTATGGCACTCTCTGACAAAGCATCCCCACAACAAACCAGTAACCGTCGCAGCTCCCCAAACACAAAGGGAAAAACTGAAAAAGGAAAAATAAGAACTATAAAATGAAGTATGTTTTCTTGACACTGAGAGCACCCAACAGATTTATCACACAGCAAGCCAATTTGGAGTTTTGGCTGAATAGTCCTTTAATATATGTTATAACTCATGAATTTTCACATATCTCTTCCACACAGGCTCTATCCAGCAATTTTATTTACAAAATAGCCAGACCTATACATAGTTAACGTACAAAACCCTGCCAGACTCGAAGATACACGCCGCACCCCTAGCAGCTGCTATCGAAGACAGCAAGAAAAGGCAACAAACGGCATCCACCTGCCCTGTTAAGACAGGGAAGTTTACAGCGGTATCGGGCTTTCCTCCCCACTTAAGAAAGAACAACGGACCAGCCAACTCCTCTTTAGCTGTCTGTCCGCAAGAGCATCTGCGCGCACCGTGCCAAGGGGCTGCTGTAACGCCCGGGAGCCTCCCCAGGCCCCCGCCGTGCGCTGGCATCACCTGCACTTACCCGTCGCCATGCTGCCCCGGTTTGCCGGGCTATCTCGGTTAAGCTGGTTGCCATCCAGCTCAATACATACACCGGGCTAATTTAAGTCTCTTTACCAGTTCGCTACATTTCGCCATTGCCCACAAAACCACAGCAGC